CCTGGCCTCCGCTATGGGGAGCTGGGAGCCTCCCGGCCTCCTCTACTGGGGCCTCTGAGCCTCTCCTATGGGGGGTCTCTAAGCCTCCCAGCCTCTGATATGGGGGACTGGGAGCCTCTTGGCCTCTCATACGGGATCCGCTGAACCTCCTGGCCTGCTCTATGGGGGTGTCTGAGCCTCTCCTATGGGGGCCCTGGGGCCTCCTGGCCTCCGATTTGGGGACCTAGAGCCTCTCCTATGTGGGGCTAGTAGCCTCCCGGCCTCTGCCATGGGCACATATGAACCTCGTGGCCTCCTCTGTGGGGGTCTCTGAGTCTCCTGGACTCCACCATGGGGGTCTCTCAGCCTCCTGGCCTCTCATATAGGGGCCTCTGAGTGTCCCAACTGTCTATATGGGGGCCTCTGAGATTCCTGGACTCGGATATGGGGAGCTGGGAGCCTCCCAGCCTCCGATATGGGGGGCCCTGGAGCCCCCTGGCCTCCTATATGGGGGTCTCTGAGTGTCTTGGACTCGCGCATGGGGAGTTGGGAGCCTCCCGGCCTCCTATAAGGGGGCCTCTGAGCCTCCTGGCCTTCGCTATGGGGGGCCCTGGAGCCTCCCAGCCTCCTCTATTGGAGCCTCTGAGCCTCCTGGACTCCACTATTGGGGTCTGGGACTCTCCCAGCCTCTCCTATGGGGGCCTGGAGATTCCCGGTCTCCGCCAAGGGGGTCCCTGAGTCTCCTGGCCTCTCATATGGAGGCCTTAGAGCCTCCCAACCTCCTCTATGTGGGCCTCTGAGCCTCCTGGCCTCCACTATGGGGGGCCCTGGAGCCTCCTGACCTCCTATATGGGGATCTCTAAGCCTCTCCTATGGGGATCTGGGAGCCTCCCGGCCTCCTCTATGGGGGCCTCTGAGCCTCACATATGGGGGGCCTCTAAGACTCCCAGCTTCTGATATGGGGGACTGGGAGCCTCCTGGCCTCTCAGACAGGAGCCTCTGAGCCTCCTGGCCTCCACTTTCGGGATCTGGGAGCTTCGCATATGGGGACCTAGAGGTTCTCAAACTCCTCTGTCGGGACCTCTGAACCTCCTGGCCTCCTCTATGGGGGTCTCTGAGCCTCCTGGACTCTGCTATGGGGGCCCTGGGGCCTCCCGGCCTCCGATATGGGGACCTAGAGCCTCTCCTATGGGGTCTCAGAGCCTCCCGGCCTCCAATATGGGGGTCTCAGAGCCCCCCGGCCTCCAATATGGGGGTCTCAGAGCCCCCCGGCCTCCAATATGGGGGTCTCAGAGCCCCCCGGCCTCCAATATGGGGGTCTCAGAGCCCCCCGGCCTCCAATATGGGGGTCTCAGAGCCCCCCGGCCTCCAATATGGGGGCCTCTGAGCTCTCGTATGGGGGTCTGGGAGCCCCCCGGCCTCCTCTGTGGGGGCCTCTGAGCATCTCCTATGAATTGGCTGGAGCCTCCAGGGGTCCGCGATGGGGGCCCTGGGACCTCCCAGCGTTCGATATGGGGACCTAGAGCCTCTCCTATGGGGGTCTCTGAGCCTCCTGGACTCCACTATTGGGGTCTGGGAGTCTCCCAACCTCCTCTATAGGGGTATCCCAGCCACTCCCAGCCTCCTGTCCACTCACACAGGGGCCACTGAGCCTCCCAGCCTCCTCTATGGGGGCCTCTGAGCCTCCTGGACTCTGATATGGGGGACTGGGAGCCTCCTGGCCTCCTCTATGACCTCTCTGAGCCTCCTGGACTCCTCTATGGGGGTCTCTGAACCTCCCACCCTCCTGTCCACTCACACGGGGACCACTGAGCCTCCCAGCCTCCTCTAGGGCAACTCTGAGCCTCCTGCCCTCCTCTATGGGCGTCTCTGAGCCACCCGGCCTCCTCTATAGGGGCCTCTGAGCCTCTCCTATGGGGGGGGCGGGGCCTCAAAGCCTCCCAGCCTCTCATATGGGGGACTGGGAGCCTCCGGGTCTCTCATACAGGAGCCTCTGAGCCTTCTGGCCTCCGCTATGGGAGCCCCAATATGGGGACCTAGAGCCTCTCGACCTCCCCTCTCAAGGTCCTCTGAAGCCTCCAGATCTCTGAATTGGGGAGCTTGGAACCTCCCCGCCTCTCATATGGGGGCCTATGAGCCTCTCTTGTGGGGACCTGGAGACTCCTGGTCTCTGCTGCAGGGGATTCTGAGCCTCCTGGACTCCTCTATGGGGACCTCTGAGCCTCCTGAATGCCGATATGGGGGACTAGGAGCCTCCTGGCCTCCGACATGGAGGGCCCTGGAGCCTCCTGGCCTCCCATATGGGGAATTGGGAGCCTCCTGGCTTCTCATATGGGGGCCTCTAAGGCTCCTGGACTCCGCTATGGGGAGCTGGGAGCCTCCCAGCCTCTGATATGGGGGACTGGGAGCCTCCTGGCCTCCTCTATGGGGGCATCTGAGCCTCCTGGACTCCGATATGGGGGACTAGGGGCCTCCTCCATGGGGTCTCTGAGCCTCCTGGACTCCGACACTCGGGCCTCTGAGCCTCCCAACCTCCACTATGGGGGTCTGGGAGCTTCCCAGCATCCTCTATGGGGGCCTCTAAGCCTCCCCGCCTCCTCTATGGGGTCTCTGAGCCTCCTGGACTCCTCTATGTGGGGCTCTGGGCCTCCCACCCTTTGCTATGGGGGTCTGGGAGCTTCCCAGCCTCGTCTATGGGGACCTCTGAGCCTCCCAGCCTTCGATATGGGGGACCCTGTCTCCTCCCAGTCTCCTCTATAGGGGTCTGTGAGCCTCTCCTATGGGGAACTGGGAGCCTCCCGGTCTCTTCTATGGGGGGCCTCTGAGCCTCCTGGACTCCACTACTGGGCTCTAAGAGTCTTCCAGCCTCCTCTATGGGGGGTCTCTGAGCCTCTCCTATGGGGACATGGAGAGTCCCGGTCTCCGCTATGGGGTCCTCTGAGCCTCCTGGCCTCTCATATGGGGGTCTCTGAGCATCCTGGACTCCGATATGGGGGGCTGGGAGCCTCCTAGCCTCCTCTATGGGGGTCTCTGGGCCTCCTGGACTCCTCTACTGGGGCCTCTGAGTCTCCTGGCCTCCTCTATGGGCGTCTGGGAGCCTCCCAGCATCCGATATGGGGGGCCCTGGAGCCTCCTGGCCTCCACTATAGGGAACTGGGAGCCTCCTGGCTTCTCATATGGGGGCTCCTGAGCCTCCTGGACTCCACCTTGGGGAGCTTGGAGCCTCCCAGCCTACTCTATGGGGGGCCTCTAAGCCTCCCAGCCTCTGATATGGGGGACTGCGAGCCTCCTGGCCTCTCATACAGGAGCCTCTGAGCCTCCTGGCCTGTGCTATGGGGGTCTTGGAGCCTCTGATATGGGGACCTAGAGCCTCTCGACCTGCTCTGTGGGGGCCTCTGAGCCTCCTGGCCTCCGATAGGGAAGCTGGGTCCCTCCTGGCCTCTATTATGGAGGTCTCTGAACCTCTCCTGTGGGGGGCCTGGAGCCTTCTGGACTCTGCTATGGGGGCCCTGGGGCCTCTGGCCTCCTCTATGGGGTCTCTGCGCCTTCTGGACTCCTCTATGGTGGGCCTCGGAGCCTCCCAGCGTTTGTATGGGGGTATGGGAGCTTCCCAGGCTCCTCTACGGGGTCCTCTGAGCCTCCCAGCCTCCTCTATCAGGGACTGGGAGCCTCCCAGCTTCCAATATGGGGGTCTCTGAGCATGTCCTACGAGGGGCCTCTAAACCTCCCAGCCTCTCATATGGGGGACTGGGAGCCTCCTGGCCTCTCAGACAGGTGCCTCTGAGCCGCCTGGCCTCCTCTCTGGGGGTCTGTGAGCCTCCAATATGGGGACCTAGAGCCTCTCGACCTCCTCTGTGGGGGCCTCTGAGCCTCCTGGCCTCCAATATGGGGGTCTCTTAGCTTCTCCCATTGGTGGCTTGGAGCCTCCTGGACTCCGCTATGGGGGGCCTGGGGCCTCCCAGCCTCCACTACGGGGACTTAGAGCCTCTCCTATGGGGGTCTCTGAGCCTCCCGGCCACTGATACAGGGGGTCTCTGAGCCTTCTGGCCTCTTCTGTGGGGGCTTCTGAGCCTCATGGACTCCACTATGGGGGCCTCTGAGCCTCCCGGTCTCCTCTATGGGGGGATCCTGGAGTCTCCTGTCCTCTGACATGGGGGTCTCTGAGTCTCCTGTACTCCGATATGGGGAGCTGGGAGCCTCCCAGCCTCCTCTATGGGGGCCTCTGAGCCTCCCGGCCTTCAATATGGGGGGCCCTGGCGCCTCCCTGTCTCCTCTTTGGAGATCTCTGAGCCTCTCCTATGAGGGACTGGGAGCCTCCCCGCATCCGATATGGGGGGCCCTGGAGCCTCTTGGCCTCCACTATGGGGAACTTGGAGCTCCTGGCCTCTCATATGGGGGCCTCTGAGCCTCCTGGACTCCACTATGGGGAGCTGGTAGCCTCTCGGCCTCTCATATGGGGGCCTCTGAGCCTCTCCTGTGGGGACTTGGAGATTAAGCCCCCATAGAGGAGGGCAGCACAGGGCTGGCTCTCAAAAGGGACAATCTCTCATGCCACAAATGCCAACCACCACTACAAAGCTCCCTGCACAGGGACCACAGCCCGTCTGCAACCCGATGGTGCCCGGGCTGCTACAAGACTTGCCTCGAGGGGCTGCTTCGACTGAGAGACGGAGAAGCGAAGAGCAGAAGTCTGTAGGAAGGGGGAGCAGGGAAAAGAAGCATTTTGTTTTCTCATATTAAACTAATGCCAAACATCCTTTCCTTCCTTTGCATAGACCATCGCGCCGATAAGTCCTTCACTTGGTGCAGATATCAGGTAATCCGAGGAAGCTTCAAGAGCAACAGCCCCAAACCCAGGTGCCTCTAGATCAAGCTGGGCACATGTTCCCTGTTGTTCTTGTCCTCCTTCAAGCGCCCCAGGACTTGCACAGAGACATGGGAAAGAAACAAAAAAAAAAAATACACCCAGATTCCCTGCCCCTCTCCCCACCACTCCACCCCAGGGTGGAAACAGACTGTTCTGATTTTAGAAAGGAAATAAAAAGAAAAAGAGAAGGGGGAGGGGAAAGAAAGTCTGAGATGGAGGAAAAAGATCCCCAGGTCAGCAGAGAGGCCTGGAAGTGGAGGGGTGGGAGCTTGGAAACACCATTTGGATGCTGTCCTGTTCACAGGCCTATTCCTGCCCCATCCTCCTGCCCCTCCGGGATCTAACTGTCTTCGCCATTCTCTCCTGGCCCTTTGATAAGGCGCTTCTGTCCGCGTTTGCCCACGGGCCCCTTGGGCTTGGCGAAGGCCTGCTTGAAGGCGTGCTGCTTGGGGTGCACCTCGTCGTAGAGGAACTCTGCCGTCAGCTCCGCTCCGTCGTCTATCTCGATCTGTGTAGACAAGTGACAGGTCACTGCTCTGCTCCTGCGCACAGAGCCAGCACCTCATGCTGTTCTTTAGGTCCCCTGAGGGGACCTCCCACCTCTCCTCTCTGGGTTCACACCAGTGGGGTTTGCTCAAGGACCTGGAGAACCCAGACAACGACCTCTCACAGGGGAAAGCACCAACCCTCCGGGCAACCGGCCCCTCACTCAGCTTCCCCACTGGATGGGCCAAGGACACCGCAAAGGGTATCCATCTCAGAGGAGGCCAAGTGTTTGGGTTCTCTCACTCCCCTCATCCTTCTCTTGTGGGCCCTGGACTGGAGAAACTCCAAGCCAGAAGGGGTGCAGGCCAAATGCCATTCCTCTCCCATTAGGTAGGAGAATCTTCTCCCAAGCCACTGGTACTGGGGACGTTTTTGTTGGGGATGGGTTAAACAATGCATTACTGTTCGCATTTTCTCCAACCTTCTCTTCAGGCTACCTTGAAACGACTCTAGCCATGCTCGAGGCCTCCCAGACTTCCCTGGAGAAGGCCCTTTTCAAACCTGGGGACATGCTGCCCCTTGGACACATGCCCTTGACTTGACCGTGGCACATTCCCTGCACAGAGCTCTCCACAGTCCTGTGCAGGCAGCCTGGCCTTACCTTCTTCGCTATCTCCAGGCAGAACTCCTGCTCTACGGTGTCAAGCAAGTGGCTCTTGCAGCTGGAGTACAGCATGCGCTCCTTGATGCTGCACTTGTACCCAGGCATGGAGTAGATAAACACTGCAGGAGAAGAGCAGGGCTGTCAGCATGGGCTAGGTTCAGGATCAAGGAGAACCTTGCCCGGTCCTGGCCGTCATGGGCCGAGTACCAGCTCTGGCAGGGCTGCAGGGGGAGCGCAGGGACACGAGCACAGCCATAACTCACCGACAGACTCCAGGTAGTCTCCCTCGTGAGAGTGCTTGTACAGAAAGAAGTGGTAGCGAGCGGAGTCCTGGGGGATCCTCTTGGGCAGGTCAGCGATCTCCGTGGGGCTTGTGTGCACCAGGTCTATGGTCTCCCGCTCCAGATCCAGCTTCTAATCGACAAAGGGATGGGGAAGGGCAAAATGAGCGAGGTTTCAAGAGGCAAAGGATACTTGGGGAGGGTCAGGAAAGCTGCCCGAGGGCCCTACCAGCTGGATGTAATTGATCTTCTTCTGCTTCAGTGCCTGGATCGCTTGCTGAGCATCCAGCTGCAGGGGAAAGGCCAGGCCTTGCAGGGTCTGGTGCTTGCTCTCCACACTGATCTCCGTCTTCACCTGGGAATGGAATCCACACCGAGCGTCAGAGAAGGGACAGGTGACACAGCAAGGGGTAGGCATGGACAGAAAGGAAAAGCCACTGGCCACGCTGCCTCTCAGCTGCCCCGGGGCACAGCCCCACGGACCTGCGGGGTAGCCCAGGCCCTGCGAGCGCGGGCCACCACGCGTGACCAACACCAGGCAGCTTAGAATCATGCAGATGTGTCGGGGGAAATCAGGCGATTCCCGGAAAAACTGCCTCAGATGCCCCAAGCAGAGGCAACGGCTCTACCTCAAACCTGCAAAGAGTCTCAGCAGCATGACATACAAGGAGCCATTTGCCATGAAAGAAACGTTTCTGCTGCAAAAGAAACATTTAAAATTCAGAGGGACTCTGGTGTTTCTTACAGCACCACTGCTCTTTGGCAAATAATCTGTCAGAGTCTGGATCCAGCCATGCATCCCCAGGCTGGTGTTTCCCAGCCTTGCAGGTTTAGACCCCCCTCCTCTCCTCTGCACAACTGCTCCCAGCAAAGAGGATCTCCAACTCCCACTGGTTTCATTTACCTTTCTCAGCACCAGGCTGTACTGGCGATGAATTCCCCAGGGGGGATAGCTGAGGGGTATTGTAACCAATGCACAAACATTCCTCTCTTCATATATGTATTTATATATATACCTGGGCAGTCTGACTGTGGTGTACAGGCATCCGCTCCACCACTGGAGGGGATATCCACAGCTCAGGGATGTCACAAAGCAACCAGGCCTGCAGCTAGGTCAGCAAACCCAGGACACCAAACGCCACTTCAAAGAGGGAGGGTAACAGAGCAGAGAAGTCACAGGAGCTTCCTACTGGGAAGCCACATCATCCCGGCAGCCGGGAGCCTCTGTCCCGAGCAGGACACCCACCGGGACAGAGGCGATGCCCCTGGCAGGAGGTGGCACCGAGGGTGATGTGACCTTGCCAAGAGGGAGGAGAGAGCTCAGAGCACAACAGTCTGCAGGCAGGGCCTACCTCCTTGGGGCCGGGGGACTCTACGAGCGACGGGCAGCAGCAACAGCCCCCTACCATCTGTCACGGAATACAGGGAGACGGAGTCACACCGACGGGCGCAGCTATCCCACCTATCCGCAAAGCTTCGGGCGCTCAGTTTGCCCCACTAAGGCACAGTCTGGCGATGTCACAAGCTCTAGTCCCTCCCTCCATCCAACACAGCCCTTGGGACTTAAGTGACCCTTTTTGGACACCCGACGCCAGAGCTGGGGGACAGCTCCCGGAGGGCAAGAGAGGGGCTTGGACAGCGAGTCACTCGGAGGGGATAAGTGAAGTGCAGCATGCAGAAACACTCAGGGAAGAGCAAGACAGGCCCAGGGCGCGCGCGGGTTGGCCCAGGGACATCCTACCATCTCGCTGCTCGAGTCCTGTGAACACGAGTCCTGGCAGCGTGAGGACAGGAGAGAGGCCATGAGTTCCCGCCGTGCACGGGACGAGTGCCAGCGGAGCGCTCGGCCAGCACAGGGCAAGGGGGGACACAGGAGGGGACGCTCGTCCGAGATGAGGAGGGGAGCACCGAGACGCGGGGCGAAACGGCCGCCTACCATCTCTCTGCCGGGGGCCAAGGAGCGCAGGTCCTGGGAGCGTGGGCAGGGATGGCAACAAAAAACACATGGAAGACATCAGCGTGGAGAGACCCGAGACGGGGAGGACGCGTGCGAGACGAGGCACACACACGGGGAGCGGAGAGCTGGCAGCGCTGCCTGCTGCCACTGTGTACCTTAGCGCGGCCCTGGTCACCTCCATGGATGTCTCTGTGCAGAGCCAGGTCCTGGCCGACCGCTGCTCCCAACCCTGCCCTCTCCTATGGGCTGCAGAAGCCGTTCAGGCAGCAGGGGCTCCCCGGGCCTGTCCCCGACCCCCCGCAGGCCCAGGAGCTGTCAGCGACACCAATGCAGGGATGAGCTCCTGGGCCCCTCTGAGCAAGGGGCGACCATGGGGAAGGGCCTGCCAGCGCTCCGGCCCCTGAGTCGTGAGCCCAGGAGCGCGCGACCCGTTCACCGCCGTCCCGAGGAACCGCTCCAGGGCTGTCCGGGAAAGGGGGGCCGCCAGGCTCTGCTCTCCCGTGGCCCCACGGGATGCTTGGACATCAGCGAGGCCCCAGGGCCAGGGAGGGCACACAATCTTGCCTGGTTGGTGGAAAGACTTTACCGTCACAACCCGGCCAGATCCTCTGCTTTCTCCCCTTCACATGCCTCAGAAATTCAATGAGGCTGGAAGGATCAGCAGGAGCAGAGAGCGAGGGCTTCAGCACCGAGTGTGCTAGAGGCAGAAAACTCCAGGAGACCAAGGGTTGTCCTGGCAACACCAGCCCCATCACCTGCCACGTCTCGGATATTTTCTCCTCCTTCCCTGTTGAAATGTCCGTGTGTGTCCGGCCTGGCCATCACACAGCCCGGGAGACGTGTGCGGGCCGCATCCCGCACTCCCAGCTCGAGCCTGGCCTTTCCGTGGCTCCGGGGCCGCGTGCAGGTCTTGTATTAGCTCCTTAGAACCTGGATTTTTCCCTTGTACGCTCAATTGCCAACTCGAAGCCTATGCATAAAACTGATGCATGGGGACACTAGCCACTCTGCTCCCCCTCAGTCCTCTTGCCTCTTTCCACAAGTCCCGAGCGGCCCGTGGCTCCGGCAGACACGAGACGTGAGGAATCGCAGAGGGCAGTTAAGAGGCGCTTTCCCCTCCTGCGGGCATTAATGTAGCTCAAACGAAATTAAAAGCTGTTTCTGGACTGTCTGCTGACAACCGCCGACTCGGTAAAGCCACCGATGCGTTTTCTGGCTGTTTGGAAGCATTTTCAAGCAGAAAGGGCAAAATTTAAGGGCTCCCACCACACTTGACCCAGCTTGAGGGCATCACACAGCATCACCTCTTTCCATGCAGTTCTCCGATTGCAGCCAAAGCCCAGACACAGTCCCCTGCTTTTCCAGAGACTGGGCAACTTCCCAGCTGGGAAGGTTTTTTTTTAGGTGAAGGCTCACACTGATCACTTCCCTAAGAGCATGTTTGCACCTCTTGGGTACACTGAAAACCGGTCTGAAAAACAGAATTAAAGCCTGCCAACACGCAGAAGAGGTGTTGTCCCAGTTGGATTCCTGCCTATCTCACTGCAGAAGTCTGCTCTGCTGCTACCAAACCAGTGTGGCACCAGCAGCTCCATCCCGCCGCTCTGCCGATGCCCTTCGCCTCCCACCCCGCGCCACTTCCGAGCCTCTTCCCTATGGAGGTTCCCAGGGAGCTTCTGCCAGCCAAGAAATCCAGCCACCTTCGGGGGGGACACTGCAAAACGGGTCAGCATCTCAGGCAGTCGTGCACCAAAAGTGTTAGAAAGCAAAAACGGGAGGCGCGCCGAAAGCAGCAACCCCAGGCAAGGGGCAGGCACATGCAGAGCAAAGCACCGACAGCTCAGCCGCTTGCAGGCTGGTGTCTTTTAAAGAAACAGTGTCCCGTGTGTCACTTCCAAAGCACTAGAGGGTTTGCTGAGCGCAGGGGTACATCGGGGCCTTTCTCGGGGCGCAGTTTCAGCTCCTGAGCAGCAAGGGGCTGCAATGCGGCTGGTGCCGCAAGCTCCACCCGCCGG